TACTACTACTACTTCTACTTCTACTTCTACTTCTACTTCTACTTCTATTACTACTACTACTACTACTGCTGCTGCTGCTGCTGCTACTACTACTGCTACTACTGCTACTAGTACCACCACAACTGCTGTACTCATTCGAACACGAATCATACTAATGCGTAATATTACCAAGACTAGGACGGGTGCTACCACGAATGCTGTGAAGATTAATGCGGATACTAACGCTGAAATTAGAACTCATCTCAGTACTAATACTGGTGCGAATGCTGAAGTGCTAAAGCCAAAGCGAAAACTACAGCTAAGAACATGAACAATAGAGTATATTGTAATATTGTAATCACAACACCGCTTAGAATCATCATGAAGCATTCTGTTGCTTTTTGTTTGGTCCCTAACATCAGTCTCAGTCTTACCCTTAACAATGCCAACACGACAAACACCAGTGTTACCATTATTGTTTACGCCAGCGTAGATCCCCAAACAGTGGTGTAGCACCACGACGACAAGGACGACCACGACGGCCAAGACGACCACGACCACACGGACCGCCAGGAGTACCATGACTCATAACGACCAATACGAGCATGACGACCACCGGATACCGCGAGGAGACCAGGAAACCACCAACAAACCCTCAGAAAAGTCCAGCTGCTGGCGGGATTCGAGGACGTGGCCGCACAGATCACGCGTAAATCATGTGACAATGGAGACATGAGCGCAAATTGTGCACCGCGCCACAGCGGGAGCGCCATGTATTCCAGATGCACCTGCATTCGTGCACTAACCAGTTCTCTTACCTCCAACGTAAGAACTCCGTCATGTGTACCACACTGCTTGGGGAATGACCGCCGTATAGTAGGAACAACTATACATCGTGAAGCTAAGAGCTTACCATCACAGCAAGAACACCGCTGCTTCTACTACTGAAGTCAATCTTGCTTGTGTGTTCGCGTTCTTCAGTCTTGTTGTTGCCAGCATTGTAGTTGTGCCAGCACTGGCACATTGTGACATGTGTTAACTAGATCAGCGGTCTGTGTACAAAGTGTAAGTTTTAAATGTTAGACACATCCTGAACACAAACACGCTTGCGCCATCTTGCGCCCAACTACCGAGGCCGGCTCATGGTCACGTCGTTTTGGGTCTCCTTCGCAGCCTGGATTCTGAATATCTACGCGGCACTGGCGCTGTCCGACAACGCCCAGGCCGCAGCCATGCCAATTGCGGGCCTTTCGGATTAGATCGTCATCTGTTGACAAGCGAAACCTGCAAGCTGGCCGAAGCCTCCCATGTTGTCAGTTCTCAGTGTCGAGTGAGTCCCAGGACCTTCGAAATCGCAAACCGCACGCGGTGCACTGTGAAGCTTAGCCCGGTTTGCACCCGGATATCCGATCTTTGAAGGTGTTGAAGGCGACTGCTTGGGCCACGGGCACGTTTGGGTATGGCGGCAGCTTGGGTACGCTTTAGCAGCATTTCTAAGTTGTTTCGTGGATGGTTCACCAACGATCGAGTGCAAGGGTTTATGGGCTTGCAAGTTGTTGGAAGACGGATCAGCTGTTCAATTTTGGCTTCAGGTCAGAATGCGCAACAGCAGCTAAGGACCCTATCTGGGTGCCTGGGCAGGCACCCGTTGATGAGGTATCACCATTCGTTCAGTATTCAATCGTTTCCGAGAGCAGATCCAACTTCACTTGACCCGGCCCACATCAGAAGCATGGGAGCCCTTTCGCGGAAACGGTGTAGCGCCCGAGCTCCAAAAACCGAGGCCCTGCAAGCAGGGTTCCTGAAAAAAGGGTCGTTCATGGATGGAATGCTTCGGGTTTCTCAGTTTCTCCTGCAAGCGCGTCTCTCCTTCCACAATCTTGCGCTGCAGCTGCAAGCGTGTCATTGAGTCATGGAGCCGCTGGAAAGCCTGCATTTGACGTGGCGCGCTTCCTCCTCGAGGTTGTGCTATCATTGAACTGATGGTGGCGAAAGCTAAGATGAACATCATGACGAGGAAGAAAGTTGGGCGGTGACCGGTGATTAATCATGCAGCGTATCTATACGATTAAGTCCAAGGCTCCGGGTTCTTCCTCAGAACAGTGCATCCAAGGTGCGACGAGCTGGGTCGGCTGCTCTCTCTGCACAATATGTACGTACGGGTACATTCTCTGGGTGCAGGGTCCCAGGCTACTGTACGTCTTGGATTTGGAACCATGTCCGGTTCATGGGCATCAGCTTCTGGCTCGAATAGGGGCGGCGATGTCAGACATACACTGATCACAAGTCGAATTTCTGCGCCCTAATTTGTGTGAAATAACTTTAGCTCAGCCTTTCCTGACAGATACCTGCTGATTTGCTGCATTCATCATGCTCTAATTACATGGCCAATGCACGATTGTCAGAACTGTCAGACAAAGATCGACACTTCAAAAGCGCTCTCTTCAAGAACCAAACAAGCTGTGCCCCGTAACTGACCGAACGAAATACAAGGACAAGGCAACGCGTGGAACATCGCGACAAGGAGAAGGCGCGAAAGGCAATGAGGCGCAGGAAGAGGAGGAGGAAGAGGACGAGGAGGAGCAGTAGTGCCGCTCTTGCGCATGTGCGGTGGACATGTACAGGGCTTGCGGGACACTCCGCCTTGTCCGAGCCTCACCTCTGTGGCCAAATGACGATGCTTCAAGAATTTCCGATGACAACACCCTGCAAGAAAATCACCAGCAGGCCGTTCCTAACACCTGGGTTGCTCCCTGTTGTAGGAGAGTCTCGCACAGGACTTGGAGGCCGGGTAGATGAAGTGGACTGTGGGTTGTCTGAGTACACCGACGGCTGCAACAAGTGGTTCCGTCCCTGGGCATGAAGATCAGGGGGCGACGGGTGCAGGTGGCAGAGGCTCGGTTTCGGGACGTTTGCATCGGCGGACTCGTCGGGGTTCTGGACTTGGGTGTGCAGGTTCTTTCAGCCGCTTAGTGGTGCCCAAGCCTTAGGGCCGTAGGACCGTCCATGCCCTGCACATCGCAAGGACTCAAGGCTCACTAGCTCTACAAGCATCGGCCCACCAACAACAGCAGCATCAACAAGTCCACAGCAACAGCAACTGCATCAACCACAGCAACAGTACCAACAGCAACAACAACAGCGGCAACAGCAACAGCAACAACCTCCAATAACCAACAACAACAACAACAGCAGCAAAACAACACCAACAGCAACAAAGACAAAGACAGCCCCAGCCACACCCACAAACCACCACCACCACAGCCACCACCACCGCCACCTTTGCAGGAGCCCCCCCTAAACCCCTAAACCCCTAAACAACAACAACAACAGCAGCAGCAGCAGCAACAACAACAACAACAACACCACCACCACCACCACCACCACCACCACCAGCAGCAGCAGCAGCAGCAGCAACACATACAAATATTTCAGGCTTACTGGGGCTTAGGGTCATAGGTTCGAGCTATGGGAGTGGGGGCAGGGCTTGAGGTTGAAGGGGCAAGGATTTTCCGGTTTTGGTCTTGCACTTCTCTGCCCCAATGTGCAGAAGAATTCAATGTTCGAGTTTCGTGTCCGAGTCTGGGTTCCCGGCAAGCTGTCAGCCTATTCCCAGCAACCATCTTGAGACCGGGAGAGCAGTTGTGCACTCTGCGCTGAAGCGACAAATGCTCGTCCTCAGGTCTTTCTCATTGCGACCCCAATCTCAAACCCCAGACGGGACGCAACAAGGCGAAAATGCGCCGAATATGGAAGAGGTAAGTCCTGGCTTCTCGGCATCGTGAGCTCAAGGGATGGTTCTGAGCATCAGCGGTGTAGGGATAATTACTCAGATCCGTGCAAGATTATGGTGGTTGTCATCATGGTCACAAGATTGTCGCTGAGGGTGATACAAGCAACATCATCAGTATCATTACATCACCATGTTGACCGTCACCAGGATCCACTTTTTGGTTTATTGGTTTGTCCATGTTTCGGCATCATGCTGATGTGCATTGTACCTTACTCGTGTCATTGTAGAATTGACAAACCAGAGGTAAAGACGCAGCAGTACAAACAGTAGCAAGATAGCAAGAAGATTGGTACTGTTTCTCGTGGTCGTCAGAGTCGGCGTCATTCCTGGTCAGACTCAACTGTAGTTTAAAGGGATGCTCGGTAGGAACAACCCTATTCTGGGCTTGCTGCCGCAAGGGCTCCGAATTCTTGCAGCATGGACACAGTTCTCATGACATGGGAAGTCGGCGAATGCATGAATCATCGTATTTAACGCTCGTAGGTCTGAAACGGTCTCACATTTTGAGAATGTCGCAAAGGCACGGTTCCTCATGATATTGGCATGAGAGTTGCATACATATGCGGGCTGCGATCGCAGTTTCCTGGCATAAGTTCACACTCAATTACTGCGGAGGGCAAGGTGGAGCACCAAATACACCACTCCCACATTCGGAACTGTTGGTTGTCATTCTGACTTCCTCGCATTCCGCCTGGAGATTGGTGGCAGGTCTTTATCGACGAGTTGTAGCCTTCTCGGACACCAAATCTTGTGCTGGCAACATAGCCGGAAGCTGAGCCTGTTGACTCTGAAAATGTGGGATCGCTGCAACCTTCCTGCATCAGGCGCAGGATTGTCGGTCGCTAGGCTGGTGTACCAACCAGGCTCCCCGACCCAGGTGCAAAAGGAGTAGACACAGGTCGCCCTTGCAGGCAGCCAATCAAAAGGTCCTAAGTCCTGATCAGAAACACCTCATAAGTACCTCCATGACTCTATGAATCTTAGACTCGCTTGCAGGTCTATCACAACTCGCGATTAGCAGACCTCCTCGCCGAGGTTGGGTAAATATGTGCGGAATTTATATGTGTGGAGCATGACCGGCCTGCTGCTGAAATTCAATAAGGGGTTAGAAAAAAACCCGTGCTGATTCGGAAGTCGTTTTGCTGAAAGCCACTAATAGCTCCCAAGCAGTTCGTCAAGTTCCCGCGCGAGTGTGGATGGAGCCTGGGAGCCTCGAGTTTATGTGCTTGATGTGTAACAGTCACATGAATAAAGCATTGGCCTCATTGGCTAGCAAGCGGGCGGAGCGGGCCGGTGCGTGTGCGCTTTTTTACGTGCATGTGTGCGAGCGTGTGGGTTGCACTTGCAGGAATTGAAATCGCGGTTTAACATCACTGTAGAAGGGCAACGTCAAGTGGACTTCGTGCACATGGACTGGACATATTCACACAACTGTGAGGGGTGCTTTGTTAGAACCTTCTCCCTTCGGGCCGTGGTATACACGATCTGCGCGCAGGCCACCGGAGATACGGTCAATGCTGACGCTGAGATGTGCGAAGGCGGCGAACTGTTGATTGCTGCTGATGCGCACAACTCCCCGACCCGAAAAGAAAGCCGCCGGGTGCCCGACATCCCCACGAATCAGAGATAATGGCAGGCAAGCGGTTGTTACCAGTAGCTTTCGCTCAGGAACACCGTGCGCAAAGCACGCAGCCACAAACCTTCGTTTCAGCAAGTTTCCACAGGGATTCTTCAGGATTATCTGCTACCGTTGACTTGTTTGCCCAAAGGGGCGCGCCTTGGCTCTTTCCGATGTGAGAAAGTCGGCGGTGGGACAATAAACTTCGTCGGAGAGACCATGCGTTCAAAGTTCTGTCATACTGCAGAGCGTAGACGGGGCAGCTCCGGGGTACACCAGTCTCAGCAAATGTCGGCGAGGCTGCCAGAAGTCTGCGGCCAGCACCGTGAGCTTTGCCATCATGGGAATTATAACGCAGATACCACAGATGCTCCTTTGCTGTGCAGAAGATCTGGTGTTAGAATCATAATATGGCAGTTGCTGGGCTTTCAAGTTCAAGTATGACGTTGAGTGATTGAGTTTCATAAAGGTTTCTAGATGTGCTGTGTGGTTATCCAAGCATTTCGACTCTTCTGCTGGATGGGTTGTGCCTCCGAAGCCGTCCGATGCCGTGGTGTGTACCGTAAGCTGGGTCCCCCGCTAGTAGCCAGAGCCGGCACAGATGCGAATCTCAACGGCTAGAACCCTCTCTTCAACAGGACCGCAAAATCTTGCCGCTGCCTCGTTTACCAATGCTGACGAACACTAATCCACAAGATTCCCAGCAAGACCGAGAGAGGAATGTCCCCACTGCTCTCGGCTGTGCGATATGCCGGCATGATAAGTCAGTTTGAACCGATTCTCGGTGGTGACAGCTTGGCCGTCTCGTCGTAGTGCCACATCAGTGTTTTGTCAAGACCTGGCTTGGTGTTGGACTGAACGCTGATGCCTTTGCCTTGCATTGCACAGGACAACGGACCTGCAGCGCTCTACCCGCTTTGGCGATGTCAACTGCCAGGTGCCTGCTTCATAGTTTAGACGCAAATAAATCCATCCATACATACATACATACATACATACATACATACGTACATACGTACATAAGTACATACGTACATACGCACATACGTACATACGTACATGCGTACATACGTACATGCATGCATGCATGCATGCATGCATGCATGCATACATGCATACACATAATGTTACAGACACATGCATACGCATGCATACACATGCACACACATGCACATGTACCATACATTTATACATGCATGCATGTATACAACATGTTTTACAGATCAGGACACGAATAGGCAACGATAAACTGCATAAGTAGACATCCGCGTACAGATCTATATAGAATAAAATATACTATAATATAATATAATATATTACATTTTTATTATATATGATAGACTGTATTCATATAACATATATATATATACAGATATGATTCATATGGTATGTATATATACACATACATACATACATACATACATACATACATACATACATGCACATATAGTAAATATATGAAATATATATATATATGTATATGTATGTATATGTATGTATGTATATATATATGTGTATATGTGTGTGTGTGCGCGCACTCATTGCATATATATATATATACATATGCATATTCTGTACATATAGAAACACACATGCAAGCGTGTATATGTGTGTGCGTGTGGGTATGTCTGTAGGTAGGTAGGTAGGTAGGTAGGTAGGTAGGTAGGTAGGTAGGTCGCTAGGTCGCTAGGTCGCTAGGTCGCTAGGTCGCTAGGTCGGTCGGTAGGTCGGTAGGTANNAGGTAGGTAGGTAGGTAGGTACAGGGTAGGTAGGTGGGTAGGTGTAGGTAGGTAGATAGGTAGGTGGGTAGGTGGGTAGGTGGGTAGATAGGTAGGTAGGTAGGTAGGTCGGTAGGTAGGTAGGTAGGTAGGTAGGTAGGTGGGTAGGTGGGTCGGTAGGTAGGTAGGTCGGTAGGTAGGTAGGTAGGTAGGTAGGTAGGTAGGTAGGTAGGTGGGTAGGTCGGTTGGTCGGTAGGTAGGTAGGCATGCAGGCACGTAGACATGTATGTATGCATGTATGTCTGTATGCATATAAACAAACAAATAAATAAATACATATATATATATAGAGTGAGTCAGCGAGAGTACATAGACACAGATATATGGGCAGATCGATCAATGGGTCGATAGGTAGATTCATAGATAGACAGATAGACAGAATTGTATGTGCAAACATATTATATATATATTTATGTATATGTATGTATGTGTGCAGATCGTCATGTCAGGCGCAACAGTGCGACAGGACCGGACATCTCCACTACCTTCCCACCGGAAGCCGATCTGTTGGAAACCACGAGAGAGAGGATCCCTGTCCCTGGCCGTTCGTTAGCCGTAGTGAATCGTATGTACGAATGTTTCCAAGAACAGCCCAGCTTCGTTGGTGTATGCAGGCAACCATGGGCGCAATCACATCCTTCTGGGGCTTCACGGCAGCAAGTGGGATGTTGTGTCAATGTCGCCATCACTCAACACACGCGCCGCAGTGGCGAGAGATGCAGCAAAACCGGAGTTTCCCAGGCCTGTAGGCATGGGTCGAGTTGCTCGCGGTTACATCGGTTTGCCGAGGTTATTTTGTGCTCTGCAGGCATAAGTTCCCAGACAGTCGGAACAGTCGCAGTGGTCTTTGCCATGTTCACGGTCTTTCCAGCAGAGTGGGGATCAGTGGAACTTGTCATGCTTTACAAGCCACCATCGTCGGTCAAAGTAGCTGGATGGACATGCATGAACTTCTGTGGCAGCTGAGATAAGCGCAAGTTTTTTGTCTTTGCACCCGCTCTGCTCCTGCTAGATCGTGGCAATCTCTAAGCACCGTCTACTCACTACTCGCTTACAGGGGCAACGTCGGAGCTCCCATGACTAGGCACCTTCAGCGGTCTGACCTCCTTGACCTCTTTTAGCTATTCTTGCTGGCGGCGATTTCCGCGCCTCGCACCTTGCCCCAATGTGTGGTGTGGGCACAGGTCTCAGGATGTTACGTTGCGTCGTGATCATGACCATCATGGTGATGCCCACGACGATGATGACGAACAGGACCTAAGCTGGATGGTGGAAGCTGCTGATACGATGATGGAGATGGGCATGAGGCAGACGATGCTCCTGCTGATGCCGGTGCTGGAGCTTGGTGTTGGCGGTGTTGCTGCTGCTATTGCTGCTATGTGCTGTCGTCGTCGTCGTCGTCGCTGCGGAGGTCGTCGTCATCGTCGTCGTCATCATCATCATCATCGGCCTTGCCATCATCTTTCCAATCACCGTCACCATCATGATCACCACCACCACCACCATCATCTTCATCTCTATCTGTAGTCGGACCCGTTCCATGGGGTGTGTTGACCAGCTTAGGACTTCCAAAGCCTTTAGCTGTCAACTTTAGCTCTGAACTAATTGCTGCTGGCGAGGGTGGGTGGGTGAGTGGGTGGGAGTTGCAACACGGTGCATGTCCTTAGGTCTTAGGGTTCGTTTCGACAGCCAAGTGAGCACCTGAGACGATTCCCCTGACCATGATTCCGCAGCTGTGTGTAAAACTGAAAATAGAATGAATAGTCAGCAGGTGCGAGACAAGGTTGGCGAAATC